AGTCAATCAAAAGCAACATCTGCAAAAAGCTCATGTAAGATCAGATGTCTACCTTAGGCAGTCAAAGTAAGTCATAGAGATGTACAGCAAGGAAACAGACCCTTCGATCCCATTCGTCCATACCGACCAGATATCCTAAATTAATCTAGCCCCATTTGCCAGCATTTGGCCCATATCCCTCTAAACTCTTCCTATTCATATATCCATCCAGATGCCTTTTAAATGCTGTGATTGTACCAGCCTCCACCACTTCCTCTGGCAGCTCGTTCCATACACGCATCACCCTCTGAGGGTTAAATCTTCCCCTCTGACCTTAAACCCATGCTCCCTAGTTTTGGGCCGCTCAGCCTGGAGAAAAGACCATGTCTATATGCCCTGCGTGATTTTATAAACCTCTATAATGTCACCCCTCAGTCTCCAATACTCCAGGAAAAGTAACCACCCTGTCTATTCAGCTTCTCCCTATAGCTCAAACCCTCCAAACCTGGCAACATTCTTGTAAATCTTTTCTGAACCCTTTCAAGTTTCACAATATCCTTCCAATAGCAGGGAGAACAGAATTGCACACAGTATTCCAAAAGCCGCCTAACCAGCCACAACGTGACCCCCCCCCAACTCCTATACTCAACGCACTGACCAGTAAAGGCAAGCATACCAAATGCCTTCTTCACTACCCTGTCTACCTGCAACTCCACTTTCAAGGAACTATGAAGATCTCTTTGTTCAGCAACACTCCCCAGGACCTTACCATTAAGTGTATAAGTCCTGCCCTGATTTGCCTTTGCAAAGGGCAGTATCTCACATTAATTTAAATTAAGTTCCATCTACCTCTCTTTGGCCCATCGGCCCATCTGCTGAAGGTTCCATTGTACTCTGAGGTATCCTTCTTCGCTGTCCACTACACCTCCAATTTTGGTGTCATCTACAAAGTTACTAACCACATCGCCTGTGTTCATATCCAAATCATTATATAAATGACAAAAAGCAGTGGACAGGACACAACACTGATCATTGTGGAACACCACTGGTCACAGTTCTCCAGTCTGAACAGCAACCCTCCACCACCACATTCTTGTCTACCTTCGAACGAGTTCTGTACCAAATGGCTAGTTCTACCTGTTTTCTATGTGATCTAACCTTGCTAATCAGTCTACCATGAGACATGTTGTTGAACGCCTTACTGAAGTCCATATAGATTGTCTTTTGCTCCACCCTCATCAATCCTCTTCAATCCTCTTCAATCCTCTTCATTACTACTTCAAAAAACGCAATCAAGTTAGTGAGACACAATCTCCCACAAGGCCATGTTGACTGTTCCTAATCAGTCCTTGCCCTTTCCAAACATATGTAAATCTTTCCCCTCAGTATTCCCTCCAACAACTGGATTGGGGTCTGGACAGAGTCTAGTGATTAAAATTTGAGATGCTTAAGAGAGAATTAGTGGTATGCAGATATCTTGGTGGGTCATGGGGTTGGCGATTAAAGATAGGGAGGGACAAGGCAATGAAGAGATTGAAAAACCAAGATTAATATGTTAAAATGAAGCCATTACGTTACCAGGGCAAGCATCATTCCATGAAAATGTGTGCATAAAATGGATTTGACATACAAAATGCAAATCCAGACTAGATACATCTTCAGAAAGAATCCAATAGTTAAATCTAATGGGATTTTCCTTTTTTTTTCCCTCTTCTACTTTCCTATTCTGCTGTCTCCCACAATGTTGTGTACCCTGGAATATTTACATCCCAGCCTTGATCATCCAGTAACCATGTCTCCATGATGGTAATGAGATCAAAATCATTTCCCCATTTTAGTGTCATTTGTCCATGTATTTTATTGCAGATACTTTGTGCAGTCAAATAAAAAAAACTTCACTATATTTTTAGCACTATGTTCTGACATGTACTTTGTTACTGATGTCCAATTTCAGTTAAACTTTGTCCCTTCCTGTTCTTTTCTGCTGTGTTTAACTACATATCCATCATACTGTCACCACTGGTCAGTATTGTCTGCAGTTCTGGCCACCTTATTTAAGGAAGGATGTTAAAGCCCTGGAGACAGTGCAAACAGGATTTACTGCAATGATAACAGGAACAAGGGAGTTTAGATACAAAGAAATATTGTTGGAGAAGATTAACAGGTGATCTTATTCGGGTGTTTAAAATTATGAACAATTTTAACAGGATAAACAAGGATATCCTGGTTCCACTAATTGGTGTGTCAGTAACTAGGAGTCACACTTCAGGATTGCTAGCAAGAGAGCTCGGAATGAGGTGAAGTGAAATGTCTCAGAGAGTTGTTAGGATTTGGAACACACTGTCTAGGAGAGTCGTGGAGGTGGATTCCATTAGAGTTTTTAAAAGACAATGGAGTCCATCTTGCGACAGTCCAGGGACTGGGCCACTGACACTTCTGCAGGTCCAGTGCAACCAGTCAATGGATTAGTGGATCATGGATCAGGGAGATGCATGGAGATCAGTCAGGGGATAGAGCACGGTCAGTTCTGGGGGGGTCAGCAGATTGTCATTGGTGGCTATCAGGGGATACTGTCATTGCAGGAAGGTGGGGTACTCAATATTGGAATTGGAGGCAACAACTTAGGATGTGAGGGTACACGGACGGTGAAGGAGAAAACTGAATTCAGAAGTATGGAGGCTATGCTTCAATTAAGGTGGGTACTAGTGAGTTCACATCTGGTATAGTATACTGTATTGGTCACCTTCTTTAAGGAAGGATGTAAATATGTAGGGAACAGTTCAGAGATCTATCAGACTGATATTTGGAATGGGCAGCTTTTTGTCTGAGGGAAGTTTGGAATGACTATGGTTGTGCTGGTTTAGAAGAGTAAAAGGCAACTTGATTGAAACATATAAAATACTGAGGATCTTGACAGGATGCATGTGGTGTGGATGTTTCCTCTTGGAGAATCTAAAACTAGGGGTTGCTGTTTATGAGGTTAGTTAATTTCTCTCAGACAGTTGAGAGTGTCTGAGCAATAGAAGCAGAGTCTTTGTATATTTTTATTGTAGAAGTGGATAGTTTCTTGATAAGCACGGAATGAAAAATTATGGGGCAGATACAAAAAGGGATTTAAGGATATAATCTGATCAGCCATGATCTTATTAAATAATGCAATAATTTTCAAAGGCTGAATGGCCTACTCCTGATCTTTGTTAATATATTCACATGGAAATACAATCTAATAGTGACGCAGATAAAGAGATATTACCATAAATAATCAAGAGTTGTAATAGGTGATTAGAGGAGGAAGAAAAGTTTGGGACCAGATAGTTATAGGGTGGGAATTCCAAAGTGTAGGACATAGGCAACCAAAGGCACAGCCACCAGTGGTGAGGAATTAAAATCGCAGATATGCAAAAGGCCACAATTGGAGGAGTGCTGAGATCTCAGATGGTTGTAGGACTGAATGAGATTACAGAGACAAGGAGGGGAATGATGATGGAGTTACTTGAAAAGAAAAAGGAGACTTTTAAAATTGACCTGTTGCCAGACTAGGAGCCATTGTAAGTTTAGTGAGCGCAGCATTAATGAATGAATGGTTTGAGTTAGGACAAGGCCAGCACATGATGAACGGAGTTTATAGTGGACGCTGAAGGTGATGATTTCACTCATCCCAAGTGTCAGATGTCGGTAACACTCTTGCTTCTGAGTCACAAGTGTCCAGGTTCAATTTTCACTCAATGTCAACACAAATGTGGGCACTGCACTGCATTACTAAGGAAGCACAGCATTGTTGTGGAAGCTGTCTTTTGGATGATATGTTAAACTGAGTCCCCATCTGCCAAAACAAGGTGTAGAGCTGGATGAACACAGCAGGCCAAGCAGCATCAGAGGAGCAGGAAGGCTGACGTTTCAGGCCTAGAACC